ACACATGTTATGGAAGCATACACCCCTTTCCTCCTCCCTCCTTCCACCTGCCCACTAACTGATAAAAAGTGGTTTTTTTTTGACATTTTGGTTACATTGTATATCTTTGCCTCTCCCTAAGAAGGGTTAGAGTTATGCCCTTCCCCTGCAAAATGCTCACCACATCCCTAAGATTGGGTGCCCCCCCCCAAATCCCTGGTGAGCATTGCCACCATTTGAAAACCATAGTTTTAATCAGTCAGTACCAATTTGATGGCGAGTAGATGTAGAGCCCATTTTGCATGTCTTATGTTGCCTCACTTTGGATAATGGGCTTAAGCTTAATCCAGGATAGCATAAATGGTGCTAGCTCACTGTCATTTCTTAGGATTGAGTAATATTCCACTGTGAGCAGATACCACATTTTAATTATCCACTCATGAATTGATGGGCACTTGGGTTGTTGCCATGACCATGCAATAGTAAATTGTGCTGCTATAAACATTTGGGTGCAGATGTCTTTATAATAGAATGTCTTATGCTCTTTTGGGTAGATGCCCAACAATGCTATTGCAGGGTTGAAAGGTATTTCTATTTCTAGCTGTTTGAGGTATCTCCAAATTCTTTTCCACAAAGGTTGCACTAATTTGCAGTCCCACCAGCAGTGTAGGAGTGTTCCTGTCTCTTCGCATTCTCGCCAGCATTTGTTGTTTTGGAATTTCTTGATATAGGCCATTCTTACTGGGGTTAGGTGGTATCTCATTGTGGTTTTGATTTGAATTTCTCTAATAATTAGACAAGTTGAGCATTTTTTTATATGTTTGCATGGCATTATTCTGTCTTCTTTGGAGAAGTTTCTGTTCATTTCTGTCGCCCATTTCTCGATAGGATTGTTTGATTTTTTCTTATTAATTCTTTTAAGTTCTAGATAGATTCTTGTTATTAGGCCTTTATCAGAGGTGTAGGGAGCAAATATTTTCTCCCACTCTGTGGGTTGTCTATTTGCTCTACTGATGGTTTTCTTGGCTGTGCAGAAACTTTTTAATTTGATCAGATCCGATTTGTTTATTTTTCATGCTGCAGTGATTGTCTTGGGGGTCTTCCTCAAAAATTCTTTGCCTAGGCCAATGTTTGATAGGGTTTTCCCAACATCTTCTTCTGGCATTCTTAAGGTTTCATGCCTTAAGTTTAAGTCTGTTATCCATCTTGAGTGAATTTTTGTGAGAGGTGAGAGGTAGGGGTCCTGATTTGCTCTTCTGCATGTAGCTATCCAGTTTTCCCAGCACCATTTATTGAAGAGAGACTCTTTTCCACATTGTATATTTTTGTCAGCTTTATCAAAGATTATATTACTGTATACTGATGGTTTCATCTATGGTATGTCAGATCTATTCCAGATATCTATGCTTCTGTTCTTGTGCCAGTACCAGGCTGATTTAACTATTATTGCTTTATAGTACAGCTTGAAGTCAGGAAGACTGATGCCTCCTAGTTTGTTTTTTTGTTTAAGATTGCTTTGGCTATACAGGTTTTTTCTGGTTCCATACGAAGTGAAGAATTATTTTTTCTAGATCTGTAAAGAATGCTGATGGTATTTTGATGGGTATTGCATTGATTCTGTAGATCACTTTAGGTGATCTTGACATTTTAACTATATTGATTCTACCAATCCATGAACAAGGTAGATTTTTCCATCTGTTTAAATCTTCTGCAATTTCTTTTTTTAGTGTTTCATAGTTCTCCTTGTATAAATCTTTTGTATCTTTTGTTAAGTATACTCCTAGATATTTAAATTACTTTGGGGATATAGTAAAGGGTATTGTGTTTTTGATTTGAGTTTCTGCTTGATGGTTCTTGGCATATATGAAAGCTTCTGATTAGTGTATATTTATTTTATAACCTGAAACTTTACCAAATTTGGTTATAAAGTCTAGGAGTCTCTTGGAAGAGTCCATGGGGTTTTCTAGGTATAATATCATATCATCAGCAAAGAGCGACAGTTTGATTTCATCTGCCCCCACTTGAATGCCCTTAATACCCTCCTCCTGCCTGATTGCTATCGCTAGGACTTCAAGCACTATGTTGAATAGGAGAGGAGATAGTGGGCACCCTTGTCTAGTTCCGGATCGAAGGGGGAAATATTTCAATTTTTCTCTGTTTAGAATGATATTAGCAGTGGGTTTGTCTTAGATGGATTTGATAAGTTTAAGGTATGAGCCATCTATGCCTATTTTGTTAAGAGTTTTTATCTTAAAAGTGTGTTGGACCTTGTCAAATGCTTTTTCTGCATCTATTGACAGAATCATATGGTCTTTGTTCTTGATTTTATTTATGAAGTGAATTGCATTTATAGACTTGCGTATGTTGAACCATCCTTGCATCTCTGGAATAAAGCCCACCTGGTCATGATGAATTATATTTTTGATGTGCTGCTGAATTCTATTTGCTAAAATTGTATTTAGGATTTTTGCATCTGTATTCATGAGGGATATTGGTCTGTAATTTTCTTTTGTTGTGTCCTTTCCTGGCTTTGGTATCAAGGTGATATTGGCTTTGTAGAATGAGTTAGGAAGGATACCATCCTTCTCTATGGTGTGGAATAGTTTCTGTAGTATAGGTATGAGTTCATCTTTGTATGTTTGGTAGAACTCTGAAGTGTAGTCATCTGGCCCAGGACTTTTCTGTTTGGGCAGATTTTTAATTACTGCTTCAATTTCTGAGCTTGAGATTGGTCTGTTCAGGAATTCTATTGCCTCCTGCATGATCTTAGGGAGGTTGTATGAATCCAAGAATTTGTTCATTTCATCTTTGTTCTGTAGTTTTTGGGCATATAGTTTTTTATAATAGTCAAATATAATGTTTTGTATTTCTTTGGTATCTGTTGTGATCTCTCCTTTTTAATTTCTTATTAAGTTTATTACAGTCCTTTCCCTTTGGGTCCTTATCAATCTAGCAAGAGCACCATTGATTTTGTTTATCTTTTCAAAAAACCAGCTTCTGGTTTTGTTGATTTTTAGTATAGTTCTCTCGTTCTCCATTTCATTCAGTTCTGCTTTGATCTTTGTTATTTCTTGTCCTCTATTAGGATTGGAAATTGTTTGCTCTTCTTTTTCCAATTCCTTGAGCATATTCATTAGGTTGTCAATATCTAAGCTTTCTGTTTTTTTGGATGTGAGCGTTAATTGCTACTAGTTTTCTTCTCAGGTAAGCTTTTGCTGTGTCCCACAGGTTTTGGTAAGAGATATCACCGTTATCATTTTGTTCAAAGAAGTTCTCGATTTCCCTCTGGATTTCTTCCTTTACCCAATAATTTTTCAATAATAGATTGTTTAGTTTCCATGATTTTGTGAGGGGTTGAGTGTTTCTATAGGAATTGAACTATAGTTTTATACCGTTATGGTCAGAGAAGATACAAGGTATAATTTCTATTTTCTTAAATTTTTTGAGATCTGATTTGCGGCCTAGGATGTGATCAATTTTGGAGTAGGATTCATGGGCTGCTGAAAAGAATGTAAATTCAAGTTTGTTTGGATTCATCATCTTTTGTGTTTGAGTCATAGACACATTTGAGGACTATATTTTAGAGCAGTTTGCTTAGACTAAGACAAAAGTTAGAGTGTATACTGTCAAAAAATGAAGCAAATTTACAGTTTACTTTGAAAGATACAGTGAGCAATTAGAATGAATGTATTTAACACATTGTTCTTTTCTAACATCAAGATGTGGCAACATTTATAGTTGTTCTTAAGTCTTTCCCTAGTGTGATTTCCCTAAAGTGGCATGTTTCTAATATTGCCTGGATTTGGAAAGCAAAGGGGGAAAACAAATCACAAATTTTTGTACTAAATGGTTTTAAATCATATGACAACTCATGCTGCAAATAGGATTGAGATAATACAACATTTTGATAATTGATTCTATCTCTCCTTTTACAAACGGAAAAACTCAAAATCCAGGATGCTAGTTTTGACTGTCCTTTAATTTCCCTTGAGTCTTTTTTAGATGATCCAGAATTATTTATGTGATTGTGTTTTCTTATCTAGGCAACGAGAATGACATTATATATGTTGCTTATCCTTTGAGATTACTATAAAGAAAAAAACACTATTTGTAAAAGTCTTTAAAAAAATCACTATAGATGCCATGACTTGCTGAAGAACTCTGTCAAAAACAATACTTCAGGTTTCAGAATACTTTATCTCAAATCTTTCTTTCTGCTAACACTAGATATTTGTTTACTTATTTATTTATTTATGAGTCAGAGTCTCATTCTGTTGCCTGGGCTAGAGTGCCATGGCATCAGCCTAGCTCACAGAAACTTCAAACTCCTGGGCTCAAGCAATCCTCCTGCCTCAGCCTCCCAAGTAGCTGGGACTACAGACATGCGTCACCATGCCGGCTAATATTTTTTATATATATATTTTAGTTGGCCAATTAATTTATTTCTATTTTTAGTAGAGACAGGGTCTCACTCTTGCTCAGGCTCGTTTCAAACTCCTGACCTTGAGCGATCCTCCCGCCTCGGCCTCCAGAGTGCTAGGATTACAGGCATGGGCCACCACGCCTGGCCAACGATAGATATTTGGATGAGTTGTCTTTTCACAATATTAAGAGTTTGTGATCAGAGAACAATATGATCTTCCAACAGAGGAATATTTAGCTTTCTGTTCTCTGTGGAATTCATGGTATAAGTCTAACACTTTATAGACACAGTAATTAGACAGTGAGCAAAGCACATCACTTTGCTCACCTATTTCTACTATATAATCAATGTATGGGTACATATATTGATGAACACAATCCATCGTTAATAAGTCTAATCCCCCAAAACAAATGTATAACATTTTTTTGTCTCCTTGCATTTTCTAAAAATATCAAGTTAAATAAGTGCAGAGAATGAGATTTCAGGATAAACTGGATCCATTGTACAGAAAGGGTCAGGATAAAGTGCATCAGGAAATAGTAGCGCATAGTTCAGATTCCTGCCCATGCCTTGCTCCCCCAGTGTTCATCAGACTCACTTTCCAGTGCTGAGATGGAGGCTCTCGGGGGCTTCTCTTCATCATTGGATTCTTCAGAGTCCTCACTGCTGATAACTGTGCAAAAGAGCAAAATCCATTAAGAGTCTCAGGGTGTGACCAAGGAGTCCTCATAACGGGAATTCCCATAATAAGAGCACTAGGGGCTGGGTGTGGTGGCCCTTTCTTGTAATCCCAGCACTTTGGGAGGCCTGGGCAGGAGGCTGCCTTGAGGCCAGGAGTTTCAGACTTGTTGGACAACACAAGGAGACCCTATTTCTACAAAAAAATGTAAAAATTAGCCAGGCATGATGGTTCACACCTGTAGTCCCAGCTACCTGGGAGGCTGAGAGAAGAGGATTGTCTGAGCTCTGCAGTTTCGGTTTACAGTGAGGTATGATCGTGCCACTGTACTCCAGGGTGATAGAGGGAGACGTAGTTTCAAAATAAGAAAATAAATAAAAGATCACTAGGACAACCTGGGAAGCAAAGTGAACTCAAGGCCCTGGTCTCTTCCTTAAATGAATGTGACCTGAAGGTTGTTCCAGGTCTTAAACCAAAGGCTAATAAAATTTACACACAGAGGGCAGCTTTGCCCATCCACTGGCACTGTTCTCAGCCCCACCCTCATTCTACTGTGCCTTCACTCTCATTTTATTTCTGAACCTTCTCTTGGTTCTACCCATCTCCCCTGCTTCTGCCTCTGTCTCTGGCAGTGGCGTCTCTTTCTACCTCTTGTTGTCTTGATGCGTTTCTTTCTTCAGCTCCTCTTGTGAATATCTTGGCTCCCTATTTTCCTTTTCTTTGACTCCTACCCTATGCCGATCCCTCTTCCTTCAGAAACAGCCTCTCCAACATCAAAACATATTACCTCCATTTTTGTCTTTTGCAATTTTCCAAATTCCTAAGGATTTTCTTCTGTTAAGCTGAGGCTCACTCTTGAGGTGCTGGCCCCTCCCCTTCCTGTCTCCATCCCAGGCTACCTGGACTGGCATGATGGGCCCTGATGAAGTGCCTGAGACGCTTACCTGGTAACCTGTAATTCACAGCTACAAACTTGTCCAGTCAGCCTTACCTATTATGTCAGAGGCCTGGTTATGGTTAGTTCTTGCTTGGGCTTGCTGCTCATCTCCTGAGTTAATAGATGTTTTTTTCTTCGTTTTATCCATCAGGTGCACAGGATAGGAATTACTTTGGAGTCCTTGGCTGGATTGCTCTGCCCCTGGGTCAAATTGTAAAGAACAAAGCATTTTCATTTGTCTCCTCAGTGTGCCCTTCACTGCCATTGATAACTCCCTCTCCCTCAATTTCACTGCTGCAAGAAAGCTTCACCCCCCACTCTCCTTTTCTTTCTGTTCTTCCACTTCATCCCTTCCTTCGTGTTCTCTTGACTGTGTTGTTTTAAACCTTTCCCTTTACCTATTCATCTCATCCTTTGATGACTAATTTTTTTTTTTCCTTTTTAAAAAATAAGAATTGTAGGATTGCTTGAGGCCAGGAGTTTGGCACCATCCTGGGTAACATAGTGAGACCCAATCTCTACAAAATATAAGAATAATTAGCTAGTTGTATGGCTGAGGTTGAAAGATTGCTTGACCCAGGAATTCAAGGATGTAGCGAGCTATTATTTTTGTGCCACTGCACTCCAGCCTAGGTGATAGAGCAAGACCCTGTCTCTAAATAAACAAATAAAATAATATTGTAACATAAAAATTATAATTGCAGAATAACATTCAGGGGTAAAAGTGGGTTTTGAATGATCACAAAGGAAGCATATCACTTTGGTGAAGAAACAAGATTACCCCAATACCTCAGAAGCCTCATAGTGACACCTCCCACTTACTGTCCCTATAGCCTTGCTCAAAATCAACAACAATCTTATCTCCCAATACCTGGTCTAATTTTGGCTGCTATGTAATTTATATAAATGGAATCATGCTCTCTTCTCTCTCTCTGTCACTCTGTCTTTCTCCATCTGTGTGTGTGTCTCTCTCTCTATTTGTATGCATGTATACACATGTGTCCCCAGAGGAAGCCACACCCCCATATTTATATATTTTTTCTTTAATATACCTGTGAAAGTCATCTACATGTATTTTGTATAATTATATTCACTGCTGTATAGTTTTCCATTATAGAAATAAGCCATGAAGTATTTATCCCTTTGCTGTTTCAAGTGTTTGGCTTTTATGGATAATGCTGCTATGAACATGCTTTTCTATGTGTTTTGATGAAGGCAATACACATTTCCGTTGGTTTCTGCTGAAGCATTTAATTGTTGAGCTCTGGGACATGCATATTTTCAGCTTTGGAAGATTACACAAAACTGTTTTCCAAAAGCATATGTGAAAAGAGATGTAAGAGAGAGAATGTGGCAAGTCCAAGTAAGTAACGAAGTCTGGCGTGGTGGGAACACGGGACGAGGGGGTGAGAGGCAAGTGACCAGCATGTGTGGTGCACGGCAGGCGTCCTTCCATATACACAGCAAGCTGACCTAACGCTGGGGGCCACAAGCAGGCAGTGGGTTTGAACGGGAAAACCGTATGAACCGGTTGCTATTTTGAAAGGTCCGTCCAGCTGAAGTGCAGAGAATGGACTTAGGGGAGCAAGACTGAAGGACGAGGCCAGACGGGTGACGGGTCCCTGGTTTCAGTGAGAGTGACGGGGACCTGGACTGGGGTGACCATGCTGGGGATGCAGAGGAATGGGCAGGTTGGAGATATTTAAAGTTGGAATTAACAGACATGGCAAATAAAATGGTGATTGTTTAAGTCACCAAGTTTTGGGATGGTTTGTGACATGACACAGCCATAGGGAACTGATACAGCCTCCAAGAGAAACGTCCTTCTGATCTTTGAATAATGGTCTTCAGGCACTTGGAGACATGGGCCTAGAGGACAGGTCTAAGCTGGAGATGAGTGTTTAGGGATCAGCAGGTGGGGACTGAGCCGAGGAGAGGATGAGATGCCCGAGAGGAGGCCTATTGCAACCTGAGGGGTCACAGGGGCCATTTTGATAAGGACACACCTCGCCCTTCCCAACGGTAACAGGGACAACCCTGGGCCTCCTTTCCGGTGACAGTCCCCTCAATTCAGACAGCGTCGTGATGTTTCTCCTCTCTCCCTCTCTGCGTGTCATGCTCTCCACCCATTTCTCATTCATTTTCCTTTAACTCAGTCTCTACATAGTTCTCCCCCATTTTTTCTTATTTCTTCCAATTTATTTCCCTCTGTATTTTTCACTATTCACACTCCTTTTCCCTACATTTTTTTTATAGTGCCTCTCAGGGTCAGAACTATGGTGAGGCAAAGTAGGTGCCTGGGGGTGTCTTAAATTTTGAGAACTCACTCAGCCTCAGGCGCTGAGAGTGAGATCCTTCTTCCATGCTGTGCCTTGGGGGCCTTATTGCCAAACTTGGTGTAGAGTCTGCAGTTTTCTACTTGGGGTTTCAGTAGAGCCATCTCAGTTATGTGTCCTACCTCCTGCTAGCCTGCCTTTGTTTCTTAATTTTTTTTTTTTTTTAGACAGGCTCTGTCATCCAGGCTGGAGTGTGGTAGCATAACCATACTTCACTGTATCTTCAGACTCTTGAGCTCAAGTAATTCTCCCGCCTCAGCCTCCCAGAGTGCTAGGATTACAGGTGTGAACCACTGGGCACAGCCTGTTTCTTAATTATTAATGTTACTTCTGCATGACTCTCCTATATCACTTTTTGTCTGGCTTCATTTTCCTCATCTCAAACATTTCAGTTGTCATCACAAGTCTCCCTCAGGGCCATCATCTACCACGTAAAAATCCCTTGACTTGCAGTTCCCTCCTAAAAGCCCTTTACTGGGGTTTCATTCCTTGCAAATCTAAATAAGGCATCATCATGCATAATTTCCACATTTTTAATATGGCATAACTTCTGAAAAGTAACTTGCAACTTATTTCCATTCACCAACCCCACAACATGGCAATGATTGGATTCTATGTCAATTTCTCTAAAATCTGTCTCACTTATATACAGTTGACCTTAGAACAACACAGGTTTGAACTTTATAGTACGTGTTTGAACTGCACAACATGGGTTTGAACTACACAGGTCCACTTATATGCAGATTAGAGATAGAGATATATGCAGATAGAGATTATCTTTTATCTCTATCAACCATGAGAAGCAAGACCAACCCCTCCTCTTCTTCCTCTTCCTTAGCCTACTCAACATGAAGATGATGAGGATAAAGACCTTTATGATGATCTACTTCCACTTAGTGAATATATTTTTTCTGCCTTTTGATTGTATTAATAACGTTTTCTTTTGAGAGCTTTTTTCATTGTAGGAATACAGTACGTAATACATATAATATGCAAAATATGTGTTAATTGACTTGTTTATATTATTATTAAGGTTTCCAGTCAACAGTAGGCTATAAATAGTTACCTTTTGGGGGAGCTAAAAATTATGTGAAATTTTTTACTATACAGGGGATTGGTACCCCTAACCCCTACATAGTACAAGAGTCGACTGTACTATGTGAGTGGTCCCTAGCTGACCTCCTTATTGTACTCTTTCTTCTTCCATTCCCTACCCAGAGATACCCCTCCATTAAAGAAAGCAGCTCTCTTTTCCCCTTGCATCTCCTGCTATAAAGCAGCCTGAAGTTGTGCACGAAAGTTGTGTGTCTTGAGTGGGGGTACACAGTTTGTGTGAAAAAACAAAAGAAAGATTTTGCCCTCATAGGACAATAATGATATAATAAGAAAATTGGGGAGAGGCAGAGCAAGATGGCAGAATAAGACTCTTCAGCATTTGTCTTCTTGTGGAAATGTCAATGTGAACAAGTATCCATGAATGAAACTGAGGAGGATAACTTCACAAGAGCTGAGGAAACCAGATGAGAGACTATAGCACCTAGATGTAGCAGAAAAATAAGAAATAACACATTGAAAAATACAGGAAGAAAAGTTTTACATTTTCTTTGCCAATCCTCTCGAAGGCACAGGCAGCATAATGTTGAGAGAGATATGGTATACCTGGGGAAAGGAGAAGGAAGTGAGCATCAGACTTTATTCTGGACCTAAGTACCATCTCATCTTTAGTAAAACTCAGTGCCAGGGTGGCCCCCATGACCTCAGACTCTAGGCCAGTATTACAATCTGAACCTCCAAGCCCACCCTAGCCTCAGGATGAACCATACAGCCCCAAGATCCAGGCTAGTGCTACTGATTCAGTGTCCAGCTATTTCTACTACCAGTCTAGCCTCAGTGGTGCCAGGGTCCAGACTGGATTCAGTGAAAAACGAGACCCAGTGCCAGATCAGACTTTTCCCAGCCCCAGGCTGTCCCCAGCAGCCCAGAGCTTCAGGCCCACTTCACTTCCTGAAGGGTCTGCACCAGTGCTGAAGATCTCTGCAGAATCTCACCCAAGGCAAAACCCATCCATCACAGGCCTGTCCATCAGTTGTCCTAGGCACCAGGTAGTCTGCCTGAGGACCCCTGTAGGAAGCATGCCCTTGGATCATGCTAGATGGCCTTCCCAAAATCTCTGGATGGGGCGAATGGCTTTCCCAGACAAAGCCAGTCTACAAAGACTGGAATAAGTCCATACTTCCTCAAATGCACAGATATAAATGTAAGGCAACAATGAACAAGAAAAACCAAAGAGGCATAACACCACTAAAAGACCACAATATCTCTTGGTAGTTGACTTCAAAGTAATGGAAATATCAAACTGTCTCACAAAGAATTCAAAATAATTATTTTAGGGAATCTGAAGAAACTTCAAGAAAAATAGAGAAATGATTCACTGAAATCAGGAAGACAAGAAATGACCAAACGAGAAACCTAACAGACATACTGAAATTACAAAAAAATTAAACAGAAATTATGAAGGTGAAAAATGCAATAGATCAAATGAAAAATGCAGCAGAGGGCATCAACTGGAGACCTGATCATGCAAAAGAAAGAATTGGTGAACTCAAAGATATGTTATTTGAAAACATATAGTCAAAGAAGAAAAAAGAATGAAAAGGAATAAAAAAAAGCTTACAGGATTTGTGAGACACATCAAAAGAGCAAATATCCGAGTCATAGACATTCATAAAGGAGAAGAGAGAGACAAAGGGATTGAAAGGTTATTTGGATGGTGCTGGAGCCTATTCTTCTAAGTGAAGTATCACAAGAATGGAGAAACAAGCCCACATGTATTCACCATCAAATACATACTAATTCATCAACACTTATGTAAACATATGGAAGTAACATTCATTTGGTGATGGGCAGGTGGCAGCAGGGAGGTGGGGATGGGTAAATGAGCACCTAATGGGTGCACACTGTCTGGGATGGACATGCTTGCAGTTCTGACTTGGTCAGTGCAATGGTAATACATGTAATGTAAACATTTGTACCCCTGAAAAATTTGAAACAAAAATACACAAACAGCAGAAAAACAATTATACCAGATAATGTTCCAAATCTGGGGAAAGACATAAATTTCCAGATACAGGAATGTCAAAGATCTCCAATCAGTTTCAATCCAAACAAATCTACACTATGACATACTATAATAAAACTGTCAAGAATCAAGGACAAAGGATCCTGAAAATAGCAAGAGAAAAGAAACAAATAACATATAAGGGAGTTCCAATAAAGCTAGTATTGGATTTCTCAGCAAAAACCTTACAGACTGAGAAAGTGGGATAACATACGCAAAGTTCTAAAGGGAAAGCTGTATTTGGCAAAGCTGTCCTTTAGAAATGAAGTAGACATAGACTTTCCCAGACAAAAACTGAGATAATTAATTACCACCAGACCTGTCTTACAAGAAATGCTGAAAGGAGGTCTTTGTGCTGAAAAAAAATGATTGTTAATTAATAATGTAAAAACATAAGAAAGTATAAAACTACTGGTAAAATAAGTGCACAGTCAAAATACAGAGTAATCAATAGTTATGGTGGTATATAACTTACATATATTTTGAATATGAAGGTTAAAAGATAAAAATTAAAAATAAAAATAGCTACAATAATTTGATGAGGGATGTGCAGCATAAAAATATGTAAATTGTGACATCAAAAATTAAAAATGTGGTCATGTTTAAGTTATTATAAGCTGAAAATAGCCTGTTATAACTATAAGATGTTTTTTATAAGCTTCAAGGTAATCACAAACTAACTCATAGTAAATATACAAAAGATACAAAGAAATCAAGGCTTAGCAGCAGAGAAAAATCACCTAATCACAAAGAAAGGCAGCAAGACAGGAAGAAAGGAAAAAAAACACCTACAAAACAACCAGAAAATAATTAACAAAATGGCAGTAGTAATTACTTATCTATCAATAATTACCATACATTTAAATGGATTAAATTCTCTAATCAACAGACATAGAATGGCTGAATGAATTAAAAATAATTACCCAAATATATGTAGTCTACAAGAGACTCTTTGGACAGAGAGTCTCTCTCTCTCTCTATCCAAAGAGTCTCTTGAGGACACACATAGATGGAAAGTGAAAAGAGGGAAAAAGATATTCTATGCAAACTTAAACCAAAGAAAGATGAAGTAGCTATACTTACATCAGGTGATACAAAATTCAAATCAAGTAGTATAAATGAAAATAAAAAAGGTCATTATATAATGATGAAGAGGTCAATTCATCAAGATGATATAATGATTACAAATGTAAATACATTCAACACCAAAGTAACTAAATATATAAAGCAAATAGATCTGAAGGAAAAATTGACTATAATACAATTATAGTAAGGACCTTCAACACCTTGCTTTCAGAAGGAACAGATCATCCAGGCAGAAAATCAACAAGAAAACATTGGACTTAAACTACACTTTAGACACCAAATGGACTTAATAACCATATACAGAAGATTTTATCCAATAGCAGAAAAATATACATTCTTTTCTTTTTAAAGGCTGGTCAAGTGAAGCAGTGGGAGTGGAGAAGGAACAAAGGAATTTGTAACTGGTTGTGATCAATTAGTTTTAAACACCACTGCACTTGGATCAACCCATTCTGCCTAATCGAACATAAAACATTCTGCAGGATAGATCATATGTTAAGTCACAAAACAAACCTTAAAAAAGTCAAGAAATTTGAAATTATGTCCAAATTTCATCCCCAGAGATTGTCACAAATGGCAGATTAGGGATGACTTCCTGGCTCTCTGCTCTTAGAGTGGGAGGTGAAGAAGGCAGCCTGAATCACTGGAGTGGGTAGTCTTCCCACAGGATTGGCTTCACGGAATTGCAGGGAAGCTTCAAGGGGCAGCAGTGCTGGGAAAAGGAAGAAAGTGACTCAGTGGATTTACTATGAATTTCCAAGAATCCGAGTGGTACAACAGGGATTGGAGTGCAAGCTGGCCGTGCTCAGCGGCCAGCCAAATGGCTGTGTGATCCTTCTCACAGGGGGATGACTTCTCCTTTACCGCCCTCCACACCCATGCAAGCAGGGAAGTGCCTGAAGACAGCGTGAAGAGGTAACATGGATAGGCAGGCAGGTTGGAGAGGAGGCAGGAGTGGAAAGTAATTTGAAATCTCCAGGGCATGGTGCAAGGTCACCTTTGCTGGGAGATCTATAAACGCCAGTGTCTTATGCCTCGCTTGTGAAGGGACAGAAAAGTGAGACAGATTGTTCATTTGACTGAGTTGTCTGGTAGAATTGGGTGGCCCAAGCGCTGCAGGGGAGGGAGCGGAAGAGGGAGCGAGCGCCATCCTCCACAGATCCTCCCCAGGGGTCTCCAGTGGCCCAAGCCCTGCTGCCAGGGATGCGCAGAAAGTTTTCACCCCTCGGTGGAACTTGTCTGTGGACCCTAGCCGCTTGAGCTCTGCCATAGAAAGGGCGGAAGAGGGGATGGGCTCCTGGGGGTCTCCAGTGGCCCTGCTGCCAGGGACACGCAGAAAGTTTTCACCTCTCGGCAGAAACTTGTCCCTGGACCCTAGCTGCTTGAGCTCTGCCGTAGAAGGGGTGGAAGAGGGGACAAGCGTCATCCTCCACAGATCTTCCCCAGGGGTCTGAAGTGGCCCAAGTTCCGCTGGTGACACACGGAAAAGGGATAGTTTTCACCCTTCAGCGGAGCCTCCCAGTGGTCCCCGGCAGCTCAAGTGCTGTTGGTGAGGGAGTAGAAGAGGGAAGGAGTTCGCTCCTTGGTGAAGCCTCCTGGCAGATCCCAGTGTCTCAAGTCCCACCAGAGAGGGGAGGGAAGAGGGAGAGAGTTGCTCCCCAGGTGGTGTCCCCTGGTGAGGTCAGGCAGTTCCCCATCCTACCCACCTCCTATGCTTTGCTCCTAATGAATAGAACCCACCCTAACAGGGTGGAAATAACAAAGAGAGTGATTTTCCAACTCTGACGTGGGACAACTGTACCCCCAGCACATTCTGGGGTTTTGAGATAGATGCTTCTCTCCAAAACTACAGACTCTACCCCCGGGCAGAGTAGTGAAACAAACCATTATTCGAGCTGAAACCAGAGGCTAGTCTTCTATCTCCTACTGCTTAGTATCCATTGCTGGCCTGTTTTTCACCAAAGGCCCAGACCCCTCCCTGAAAGGGTTTAGTAACAGCCTCTCTAGACTGATACCCAAGCTGAGATACGAGCCCATATCCTGGAGGTGACCTGGAAGACAGGGTCTTCAGCCAAAGGATCAGGCCCCAGCCCTGGAAACATGCAGTAATGAGAGAGTCCGCTTTTAGGACTAAGGCCCACCTGGATTGCAGAAGGTCCTTGTCTGCGACCAGACCACTGGTATCCCGTAGCATAGGGCCTGACCCCTCGTATGCAGGAGCAGAGTTGCCAAACAGGTCGCTCTCTGTTCTGTGTCCCTCAGTGCCCCTGGGCAGGGCCTCTTCAACAGACCTGATCCTTTTATTTCACACCATCCAGAGAAACTCCATCCTTGGAGGGATGGAGTAAAAAGAGTGGATGCCCTACTACAGTGAGTAAGTTTGGATCATCTGTTAAGAGCAGAATACAAGGGCTTATCCTTGGTATCCAGGCAGTTGCCAAATTATAGACTTGAGTTCTAAGAAGGAGAATCTCAACAAGAATCCCTAACAATTGCACCAAAAGACACTTTCCAAGAGGAGCTGCCACATATATGCAGCAAATGATCTTTGAATAACTTTTAGTAGCTCCCCTCTAGCCACAGATCAAACAACCTCTGAAGTACAATCTCTTAAGCTTGCTGATCTGTTGCTTATCTCACCCCAACTAAATAAGTAACAGGGCCCAAGGATCCCCTGGGAGAGGCACAGCACTCACCAAAAGCTGAGGGTCCTGTTTACCACATTTAAGGGTTTAGAGCTCATTACATAGGTATTGGAAAAGCTGGATAACTGACCTCCCCTCGCAAACCACAAGCAACAAAAAGAGTGAATAACCTCATAGCTCATCAGAGTGCCTCTCTCTTCATACAAGTAGTTGATAGGGGAATCATGCTCACAAGAGGGATTTAACTCCGGGGAGTCTAAGCAACGGTTCCAATCTCACTAATCTCTATTAAAAGATGGTGAAGACAACAGGTCAAAGATAACTCAACAGGCTCAGACTCCTCTAAGACAGTACAGGTCCATAGCACATGTGCACAGATCTGCCAAGGATCATCCCTCCAAAATTCCAGATTCTAGCTCATTATCCAGTCCCTGCACCTCCAATCCTCAATAAAGCGCCCAGATGAGAAAGAACCAGCGAAAGTTTACAGGAAACATGAAGGAGCAGAGAGAAAAGTCACCTCCAAAGCAAAATACTCATTCTCCATCATCTGACACCAACTTACATGATATGAGTAAACTGACAGAGGAATATTTCCAAATATGGATTGCTACAAAACTAAATGGAATTGAAGAGAAAATAGAATCACAACATAAGATAAACCATAAGAACAATACAGGAAATGAATGAAAGATTCTCCAAAGAAATTGAGACTATCAAGAAAAACCAAACGGAAATTCTGGCAATGAAGGAAACAATCAAGGATTTTTAGAATTCAGTGGAAAGCCTGAAGAACAGGATGTACCATGCAGAGGAAAGAATCTCAGAACTTGAAGATTATGCCTATGCTCTAAGCAAATCAGAGGAAGAAAGGAAACACAGAAACAAGAGACAAGACCAAAGTTTACAGGAAGTGTGGGTTTATGTTAAAAAGCCGAATCTCGGAGTGATTGGGATTCCAGAAGGGAGGGGGAGAGGAACGCTCACAAGGGCTGGAAAACTTATTTCACGGAATACTGGAGGAAAATATGCCAGGCTGGCCAGAAATCTTGATATCCAAATACAAGAAGCACACAGAACTCCTGGGAGACTCAATGTGAAAAGGCAATCACCTGGCCATGTGGTTTTTAGGCTGACCAAAGTAAACGTGAAAGAAACAATTCTCCGTGCAGCAAGACAAAAGCAGCAAATGACCTATAAAGGTAAACCTATCAGACTAACAGCAGAATTCTCATCTGAAACCTTACAAGCCAGGAGGGAGTGGGTGCCTATCCTTAATCTTCTAAAACAGAACAAAGCTCAACCTAGAACTCTTTACCTGGCAAAATTAAGTTTCATCTATGAGGGAGAAATAAAGTCCTTCTCAGACAAACAATCACTGAAAGAATTTGCAAAGACCAGACCATCCCTACAGGAAGTTCTCAGACCCGCATTTCTAACCAAACAGGGCAGTAGACACTCTTCCAAGTAAAATTGTCAAAGAATTAGACTTTAGATCTCGAACTACATGATGGCTCCAGGAGTAAAACAAAGCAACAAGACTCCACCCAACAATATGAATGGTAATCTTCCTCCAATTTCAATCCTTTCAATAAATTTAAATGGCTTAAACTGTCCTCCGAAGAGACACAGACTGGCAGTAGATAAAAATTCACAAGCTAAGTATCTGCTGTCCACAGGAAACACATCTAACCCACAAAGATGCCTACTGGCTGAAGGTCAAGGGATGGAAAACTATTATTCAGTCAAATGGGAGTCACAAGAAAGTTCGGTTAACTATACTATTTGCAGATAATATAAGCTTTAAAATAGCAAAAGTAAAAAAGGATAAAGATGGCCATTATATAATGGTGAAAGGAAGATCCAAAAAGAAGATTTAACAATTCTTAATATCTATGCACCCAATATAGGAGCACCTAATTACTTAAAGCAAAACTTGTCTAATCTAAACACCTTGTTACCTGACACTGCCATAGCAGTAGGGGACTTCAACACTCCATTGAATGATCTTGATTGATCCTCCAAACAGAAAATAAGCAAAGAAATAATGGATCTGAACAAAGCCCTTGATCAAAAAGGTCTGAAAGATGTCTATAGAGCATTCCTTCCAAATAAGCTGGAATTTATATTCTTCTCAGCAGCCCATGGATCCAACTCTAAAATCGATCACATCCTAGGCCACAAATCAGATCTTAAAAATTTAAGAAAATAGAAATTATACCTTGTATCTTTTCTGACGATAACAGTATAAAATTACAGTTCAATTCCTATAGAAACACTCAACCCCTCAGAAAATCATGGAAACTAAACAATCTATTATTGAAAAATTATTGGATAAAGGAAGAAATTCAGAAGGAAATCAAGAATTTCTTTGAACAAAATAATAATGGTGATACTTCTAACCAAAACCTGTGGGATACAGCAAAAGCTTACCTGAGAGGAAAACTAATAGCAATTAATGCTCACATCCAAAAAACAGAAAGCTTAGATACTGACAACCTAATGAATAAACTCAAGGAATTGGAAAAAGAAGAGCAAATATTCTCCAATCCTAATAGAAGAAAAGAAATAATGAAGATCAAAGCAGAACTGAATGAAATGGAGAACAAGAGAACTATACTAAAGATTAACAAAACCAGAAGCTGGTTTTTCAAAAAGATAAACAAAATTGATGGCCCTCTTGCTAGATTGATAAGGACCCAAAGGGAAATGACTCTAATAAACTCAATAAGAAATTAAGAAGGAGAGATCACAACAGACACCACAGAAATACAAAACATTATATTTGACTATTATAAAAAACTATATGCCCAAAAACTACAGAACGAAGACAAAATGGACAAATTCTCGGATTCATACACCCTCCTTAAGTTCATCCAGGAGGTAACAGAATTCCTAAACAGACCAATCTCAAGCTCAGAAATTGAAGCAGTAATTAAAAATCTGCCCAAACGGAAAAGCCCCAGGCCAGATGGCTGCACTTCAGAGTTCTACCAAACATACAAAGATGAACTCATACCTATACACTAGAAACTATTCCACACCATAGAGAAGGTGTGGAATAACTAATTATTCCACACCTTGGTGTGGAATAACTAATTATTCCACACCTTGATACCAAAGCCAGGAAAGGACACAACAAAAAAAGAAAATTACAGACCATTATCCCTCATGAATACAGATGCAAAAATCCTAAATACAATTTTAGCGAATAGAATTCAGCAGCACATCAAAAATATAATTCACCATGACCAGGTGGGCCTTATTCCAGAGATGCAAGGATGGTTCAACATACGCAAGTCTATAAATGCAATTCACTTCATAAATAAAATCAAGAACAAAGACCATATGATTCTGTCAATAGATGCAGAAAAAGCATTTGACAAAGTCCAACACACCTTTATGATAAAAACTCTTAACAAAATAGGCATAGATGGCTCATACCTTAAACTTATCAAATCCATCTAAGACAAACCCACTGCTAATATCATTCTAAACAGGGAAAAATTGAAATCTTTCCCTATTCGATACAGAACTAGACAAGGATGCCCACTATCTCCTCTCCTATTCAATATAGTGCTTGAAGTCCTAGCGATAGCAATCAGGCAGGAGGGGGGTATTAAGGGCATTCAAGTGGGGACAGATAAAATCAAACTGTCGCTCTTTGCCGATGATATGATATTATACCTAGAAAACCTCATGGACTCTTCCAAGAGACTCTTAGACTTGATAACTCAATTTGGTAAAGTTTCAGGTTATAAAATCAATATACACAAATCAGAAGCATTCATATATGCCAAGAACCATCAAGCAGAAACTCAAATCAAAAACACAATACCCTTTACTATAGCCCCAAAGAAAAATAAATATCTAGGAATATACCTAATGAAAGATACAACAGATGTATACAAGGAGAACTAAAAAACCCTAAAAAAAGAAATTGCAGAACATTTAAACAGATGGAATGTAACGTTTGGGGGATGGACACTCTTGAAGTTCTTACTCGAGGGGGGAGGGAGGCATGGAAAAATATGTAACCTTAACACTTGTACCCCCATAATACGCTAAAATAAAAAAAAAATAAACAGATGGAAAAATCTACCTTGTTCATGGATAGGTAGAATCAATATAGTTAAAATGTCAAGATCACCTAAAGTGATCTACAGAATCAATGCAATCCCATTAAAATACCATCAGCATTCTTACAGATCTAGAAAAATAATTCTTCACTTCGTATGGAACCAGAAAATACTCGTATAGCCAAAGCAATCTTAAATAAAAAGAACAAACTGGAAGGCTTCACTCTTCCTGACTTCAAACTGTACTATAAAGCAATAACAGTTAAATCAGCCTGGTAATGGCACAAAAACAGAAGCATGGATATCTGGAATAGATCTGAGATATCAGAGATTAAACCATCAGTATACGGTAATCTAATTTTGATAAAGCTGACAAAAATATACAATGTGGAAAAGAATCTCTCTTCAATAAATGGTGCTGGGAAAATTGGATAGCTACATGCAGAAGAGCAAATCAGGATTCCTATCTCTCACCTCTCACAAAAATTCACTCAAGATGGATAACAGACTTAAACTTAAAGGCATGAAACCTTAAGAATCCTAGAAGGAATGTTGGGAAAACCCTATCAGACATTGGTCTAGGCAAGAATTTTGAGGAAGACCCCCAAGGGCAATCACTGCAGCATGAAAAATAACAAATGGGATCTGATCAAATTAAAAAGTTTCTGGCACGCAAGGAAACCATCAGTAGAGAATAGACACCACAGAGTGGGAGAAAATATGTTGCTCTCTACACCTCTGATAAAGGCCTAATAACAAGAATCTATCTAGAACTTAAAAGAATTAATAAGAAAAAATCAAATAATCCCATTGAGAAATGGGCGACGGAAATGAACAGAAACTTCTCCAAAGAAGACAGAATAATGGCCTGCATACATATAAAGAAATGCTCAACTTCTCTAATTATTAGAGAAATGCAAATCAAAACCACAATGAGATATCACCTAACCCAATTAGAATGGCCTATATCAAGAAATCCCAAAACAACAAATGCTGGTGAGGATGCGAAGAGACAGGAACACTCCTACACTGCTGGTGGGACTGGCAATAGTGGCAACCTTTGTGGAAAAGAATGTTGAGATACCTCAAACAGCTAGAAATAGAAATACCATTTCAACCCTGGAATTAGCATTGTTGGGCATCTACCAAAGAGCATAATACATTCTATTATAAAGACATCTGCAGCTGAATGTTCATAGCAGCACAATTCACTATTGCACAGTCATGGAAACAACCCAAGTGCCCATCAATTCATGAGTGAATAATTAAAATGTGGTATATGCTCACAATGGAATATTACTCAATTCTAAGAAATGACAGTGAGCTAGCACCATTTATGCTATCCTGAATCAAGCTCAAGCCCGTTATCCAAAGTGAGGTGACACAAGACATGGAAAATGGGCTCTACATCTACTCGCCATCAAATTGGTACTGACTAATTAAAACTATGGTTCTCAAATGGTGGTAATGTTCACCAGGGATTGGGGGGGTTGGGGAGAGACCTAATCTTAGGGATGTGGCGAGCATTTTAGAGGGGAAGGGCAGAACTCTAACCCTTCTTAGGGAGATGCAAAGATATAAAATGTAACCAAAATGTCAAAAAACAAACAAACAAACAACAAAAAAACACTTTTTATCTGGTGGTGGGCAGGCGGGAGGGGGGATGAGGAGAGGGCATATATCTACGTAATGTGTGCGGTGAGGATTGGACACGCTTGGATCTCTGGCATGTCGTGGGAAGGGAGGGGGGCAGGGGCAATATTTGTAACCCTAACAATATTTGTATCCCCATAATATGATGAACTATAAGGAAGAAAAAAAAATTCATCTCCAGTGTTCATCTCTACTTTGTTTTGGCTCTCTGTCTTCTTGCACCACATAATATTTCTTCTTTTATGAAAAGTCACAGGAAAGCTAAATAACTATAATTTTGGTTTTGGTGTAGTTGACCTGAAGTCATTTTTCTCATAAATAATTAAATAGCAGCAGAAATTATTTTTTGGAGATTTTCAAAGCTTTTTTCTAATGACAATATTAGCAATGGATAGAGGAATACTGTACTTACAGTGCTCTATCAAATATAAAGTGTGGTGGTAGAGAATAAGTACATTATTCCAACTCTTAAGAATTATTAAATATAATAGTGTGCAGGAAAGAATACTGTAATTTTACTAAGATATTTTTGTTATATTATCAATATATAATTTAATTAGTTCGATCCAATTAAACAATGGTTTATAATGCCCTCCTGACACCTACCATTTCCCAATAGGGCTAGTGAGGTTAAATGCACAAAATGGTGCCCTATAAGTTTATAATTCATCAGGAAAACAGAGCTCTGTGATTTTTTAGTCCAGGAATTGCAACTCCAGTATTCTTACCTGGTGCATTCTGGGGTCCTGAGCAAGTGCTTGCTTGGGTGTCCTGTCCCTCAATTGATTTGAGAAGGTAATCGATATAGGACACTGCACAAAAGAATAGGATTATTTAGAGGTCTCAATGTGTGAATAGTGTGAAAAGACACTCGCCAATAATAAAATTTGGAAAAACCTTGAAATTCCATGCAAGTCTTGGACTGCACCCAGGTCAAGCTGGTCTTCTCTTCTAAGTTACCTGCCTTGTAGGTGAGTGATGCTCCATTCCTGTCCCCACAGGCAGAGAAAATTCACTGACAAAGGGCAACTTTGCTGACCTTTGCTTTCCTGCACTGCTCTCTGTTACTTCTCACCCCTTCTCCTGTCATTCCACATTTCCTTCATCTCTGCCTCTGTTTTCTGCACAAGGAGACTTTGAAGACCTTGTGCTGAAGGTGTTGAGCTTCTTCTACCCCCAGCCATCCAGGTGCCTCCCTGAACTGCTTACAAGGCTGAGAAATCACCTTCTTTTGTGTTTGAGCCATAGACACATTTGAGGACCACATTTCAGAGCAGTTTGCTTACACCAAGATAAAAGTTAGAGTGTGCACTGTCTAGAAAATGAAGCAAATTTATATTTTACTTTGAAGGAAGATACAGTGAGCACTTTGAATGAATGTATTTAACACATTGTTCTTTTGTAACATCAAGATGAGGCAACATTTGTGTTTGTTCCTATGTTTTTTCCTAGTGTGCTCTCCCTAAAGTGGCATGTTTCTAATATTCTCTGGATCTAGAAAGTAAAAAGGGAAACAAATCACCAATTTATATGCTTAAGGGGTATAAATCATACAGTAACTCATATTGCAAATAGGATTGAGATATTACAACATTTTGATATTGTTTGTCTCTCTCATTTTACAAAGGAAAAAACTGAGAATCCTGGATGCTAGTCTTGTCTTTCCTTTAATTTCCATGAGTCTTTGTAGATGACCTTGAAACATTTATGTGATTGTGTTTTCTTATCTAGGCAGCAAGGACAACACTGTCTATCCTGCCTACCCTTTGAGGTTACTGTAAAGAGAAAATATACTATTTGCAAAGGGGTATTGAAAAATCACTACTATATATGCCATGACTTGTTCGTAAAAGAGGAACAATACTTCATGTGTGAGAATACTTTATCTCAAGTCTTTCTTTCTGCTAACACCAGATATTTGGATGAATTGTCTTTTCACACTATTCAGTTTGTGATCAGGTGACAACATGATCTTCTAATGAGGAGTATTTAGCTTTTTGTTCTCTATAGAAATCATGGTATAAATCTAACTCCTTAGAAGCATAGTAACTAACCAGTTTTTTTTTTAACTCACCACTTTGCTAGCCTATTTCTACTATATAATCAATGTATGGGTACATATATTGATTAACAGAATCCATCAATTAATATGCTTAATCCTCAAAAACAAATTTGTAACAAATTTTTGCCTCTTTGCATTTCCCAGAAGGGTCAAGTTAAATAAGTGCAGAGAATGAGATTCCAGGATATACTGGATTCATTATATCGAAAGGGCTCAGAATAAAGTGCATCAGGAAATAGCAACTCATAGTTCAGATTCCCGCAGCCCGAGCCTTGCTCCCCCAACCTTCCTCATCAGGCTCACTTTCCAGTGCTGACAGGGGGGCTCCCAGGGGCTCATCTCCGTCGTTGGATTCTTCAGAGTCCTCATTGGTGATGACTGTGCAAAGGAGCAAAACCCATTCAGAGTCTCAGAGTATGACCAAGGAGTCCACATAACAGGAATTCCCATAATAAGAGCACTAGGGGCCGGGTGTGGTAGCCCTTGCTTGTAATTCCAGCACTTTGGGAGGCCCAGGCAGGAGGCTTCCTTGAAGCCAGGGGCTTGAGACCAGCCTGGGCAACATAGGGAAGACTCTGTCTCTGCAAAAAATGTAAAAATTAGCTGTGTGTGGTGGTGCATGCCTATATTTCTAGCTACTCAAGAAGTTGAGGCTGAGGTGGGAGGATCGTCTGAGCCCAGGAGTTTGAGGTTACAGTGAGCTATGATCGCCTCTGCACTCAAGCCTTGGTAATAGAGGGAGACCCAGTCTCAAAAGAAAAAATATCACTAGGAAGACTTGGGGAGCAAAGTTAATTGAAGACCCTGTTCTCTTCCTTGAATGAATATGACCTGCAGGGTATTCTAGGTCTTTAACCAAAAGCTGATAAAATTTACACACGGAGGGCAGCTTTGCCCATCTACTGGCACTGTTCTCACCCCAACTCTTATTCTACTTTTCCTTTACTCTCATTTTATTTCTTACCCCTGACTATTACTTGAGCCTAAAGTTGAGAAAATTTCATCCCCTGGATCATTTCTTCTTTGTCTTGGCTTTCTGTCCTTTATACCAAATTATCTTTCCTCCTTTATGAAAAATCACAATGTAAGCCAACTATTTAACTATAATATGGGTTTGGGTGTAGTTGATCTGAAGTCATTTTTTTCCCCATCGCTAATTAAATACCAGCACAAATTATTCTTTGAAGGCTTCCTAAACTTGTGACCACCAGCCCCTAACCTCGCCTCAGGAACTCTTTTATTCTATTTATGTGAGTGAAGAATAAACCTGTACTGCAGTTGGGGCATTGAACAATCTGGGCCCTGAGTGGTCTTTTCCTTTTGCGGATACAACAAGTAGATGTGTTTCCAATATTCACAGGATCTGGAAAGAAAAGGAAAATAAATCCATTAAATTATAATTAAAAGGATTATAAACCTTCTGACTACTTACATTGTAGACAGGATTTAGATTACAAAGATGCTCTATTGATGGACAGAAAGATAGAGGAATCCTGTGCTGACAGTGCTCCATGAGATATAAAGGGTGGGGGTAGAGAATAAGAACATTATTCCAGCTTTTTAGCATTAATATACATGATAGTGTGTAGTTAAACAGATTGTCATTTTACTCACATGATTTTGCTAGATTTTCAATGTATGATTCAATTGGACCCATCTAATCAAAGAATAGTTTATAATGCCTTCCTGACACCTTCCATTTCCCAATAGGGCCAGTGAGGCTAAATGAAGAAAGTGATACCCTGGACGTTACAGAAGCAAGGCATATGGAGAATGTTCAGAGTACAATTCATCAGGTAAACAGAGCTCTGTATTTGGATTTTAGATAGCCTGTGCAGGAGGGGCTGCAACTCTAATATTCTTACCTGGCGTATTCTGGGGTTGTGAGCAAGTAGCTTCTTGGGTTTCCTCTCTCTCAGGTGATTTTGAAGATCCATATTCCTTGATCACTGCACAAAAGAATAGAATTCCTTAGGCATCTCAGTGTGCGACCAAGGGAATTTCCTAATATGAAAACTTGGAAAAACCTTGAAATTCCATGCAAGTCTTGGACTGCACCCAGGTCAAGCTGGTCTTCCCTTCTAAGTTACCTGCCTTGTAGGTGACTGATGCTCCATTCCTGTCCCCACAGGCAGAGAAAATTCACTGGCAAGGGTCAACTTTGCTTTGCTGACCTTTGCTTTCCTGCACTGCTCTCTGTTACTTCTCACCCCTTCTCCTGTCATTCCACATTTCCTTCATCTCTGCCTCTGTTTTCTGTACAAGGAGACCTTGAAGATCTTGTTTTGAAGGTTTTGAGCTTCTTCTACCCCCAGCCATCCAGGTGCCTCCCTGAACTGCTTACAAGGCTGAGAAATCACCTTCTTTTGTGTTTGAGCCATAGACACATCTGAGGACCACATTTTAGAGCAGTTTGCTTACACCAAGATAAAAGTTAGAGTGTGCACTGTCTAGAAAATGAAGCAAATTTATATTTTACTTTGAAGGAAGATACAGTGAGCACTTAGAATGAATGTATTTAACACATTGTTCTTTTGTAACATCAAGATGAGGCAACATTTGTATTTATTTTAGGTCTTTCCCTAGTGTTTTCCCTAAAGTGGCATGTTTCTAATATTTCTCTGGATCTAGAAAGTAAAAGAGGAAAACAAATCACCAATTTGTATGCTAAAGAGCTATAAATCATATGGCAACTCATGCTGCATACAGAATTAAGGTAATACAACATTTTGATAATTGTTTCTATCTATCATTTTACAAGGGAAAAAACTGAGAATCCTGGATGCTAGTCTTGTCTTTCCTTTAATTTCCATGAGTCTTTGTAGATGACCTTGAAACATTTATGTGACTGTGTTTTCTTATCTAGGCACCAAGGTCAACACTGCCTATCCTGCTCACTCTTTAAGGTTATTGTAAAGAAAAAACATATAATTTTCAAAGGTCTTTTGAAAAATCACTACTATATATGCCATGACTTGCTAACAAACTCTTTTAGGAATAATACTTCACATATGAAAATACTTTATCTCAAGTCTTTCTTTCTGCTAACACTAGACATTTGATGAATTATCTTTTGACATTGTTCACAGTTTCTGATCAGATGACAATATGATCTTTCAATACAGGGATATTGGCTTTCTGTTCTCTATAGAAATCCTGGCATAAATCTAACACCTTAGAGGCATAGTAAGTAGTCAGTTTTTTTAACATAAAAACTCACCACTTTGCTTGCCTATTTCTACTATATAATAAATGTATGGGTACATATATTGATTAACAGAATCCATCAATTAATAAGCCTAATCCTCAAAAATAAATTTATGACAATATTTTGCCCTAATCACTTCCCAAAATGGGTCAAGCTAAATAAGTGCAGAGAATGAGATTCCAGGATAAACTGGATCTATTGTACAGAAAGGGCTCAGAATAAAGTGCATCAGGCAACAGCAACTCATAGTTCAGATTCCCGCAGCCCGAGCCTTGCTCCCCCAACCTTCCTCATCAGGCTCACTTTCCAGTGCGGAGAGGGGGGCTCCCAGGGGCTCGTCTCCGTCGTTGCATTTTTCAGAGTCCTCATTGGTGATGACTGTGCAAAAGAGCGAAATCCATTAAGAGCCTCATGGCATGACCAAGGGGTCCACACAGCAGAAATTCCCAAAACAAGTGCAGTAGGGGTGAGGTGTAGTGGCTCACACCAGTAATGCCAGTACTTTGGAAAGCCCAGGTCGGAAGATCCCTTGAGGTAGGGAGTTTATGTCCAGCTTGGGCAACACAGGGAGAAACTTTCTCTATAAAAAAGTAAAAATTAGCAAGGCATGGTCGTGCACACCTGTAGTCCCAGCTACTCGGGAGGCTGAGACAGGAAGATCATTTGAGCTCAGGAATTTGAAGTTGCAGGGAGCTGTGATTCCACTACTGCATTCCACCTGGGTGATACATAGAGACACAGTCTCTCTCTCTCTCTCTCTCTCTCTCTCTCTCTCTCTATATATATATATATATATATATATGAAAAGAAAAAATAAAAAGCACTAGGAAGATCTGGGAAGTGAAGTTAACTAAAGGACTTGGTCTATTTCCTGAGTGAATGTGACATGGAGGTTGTTTCAGGTCTTTAACCAGAATCTGACAAAATTTATACACAGAGGGCAGGTTTGCCCATCCACTGGCACTGTTCTCACTCCCACCCTCATTCTACTTTTCTTTCACTCTCATTTTATTTATTAACTTTCTCTTAGTTCTGTCCATCTCCCCTGCTTCTGCCTGTCTCTGGCAGTGGTGTCTCTTTTATACCTCTCCGTCTTGTGTTTCTTACTCTATCTCCTCTTGTGAATATCTTGGCTCCCTCATTTGTTCCCTTTCTTTACCTCCTCCCCTATGCTTTCCCCTCTTCCCTTATACATGCCTCTCTCACATCAACACTTACAACCTCCATTTCTGTCTTTTGCAATTTTCCCAAATCCTAGGGACTTTCTTCTGTTAAGCTGAGGCTCACTGCTTGAGGTGCCGGCCCCTCCCCTTCCTGTCTCCATCCCAGGCTACCTGGACTGCCCCGATGGGCTCCAATTAAGTGCCTGAGCCCTTACTTGGTAACCTGTGATTCACAGCTGCAAACTCGTCCAGTCAGCCTTACCTATTATGTCAGATGCCTGGTTATGATTAGTTCTTGCTTGGGCTTGCTGCTCATCTTCTGAGTTAAAAAGTGGCTTCTTCTTTATATCCATCAGACACACAGGAAAGGAATTATTTGGAGTCCTTGGCTGGGTAGCTCTGCTCCTGGGACAAATTGTAAGGAACAAAGCATTTTTATTCGTTTCCCTAGTGGGCCCTTCTCTGCCATCGATAACTTCCTCTCCCTTACTTTCACTGCTGGGGAGAAAGTTTTCTTCCCCACCCTCCTTTTCTTTCTATTTTTCCACTTTATCCCTTCCTTCATGCTCTTTTGACTGTATTTGTTTTTTAACCTCTCCCTTCACCTATTTTTCTTATCCTTTGATGACTAATTTTTTTTCCTTTTTGAAAAATAATAATTATAGAATCTCTTGAGGGCAGTTTAAGACCAATGTGGAGAACATAGGGAGACCCCACCTCTACAAAAAATACAAAAAATTAGCTAGGCATGTGGCTGAGGTGGCAGGATCACTTCATCCTGGAATTGAAAGATGCAGTGAGCTCTGGTTGTGCCACTATACTCCAGCCTAGGTGATAGAGCAAGACCCTGTCTCTAAATAAACAAATAAAATAATATTTTAAAATAAAACTCTAATTACAGAATAACATCCAGAGAAAAAAAGTTGCTTTTGAACGATCACAAATTAAGCATATCACTTTGGTCAAGAAATAAGATTACCCTAACACCTCAGAAGCCTTCTAGTGATACCTCCCACTAATTGTCCCTATAGCCTTGCTCAAAGTCAACAACAATCTTACATCACAATACCTGGATTAATTTTGGCTGTTATGTAATTTATATAAATGGAATCATGCGATCTTCTCTTTCTCTCCTTGTCTTTCTCTTTCACTATCTATATATATATTTGTATATATGTGTGAATACATATTTCCCCAGAAGAAGTCAAATTCCCCCCAATTTATATATATGTGTATATATATATAATTCAATGTGCTTGTAAAAGTCATCTATGTTCATTTTCTATAATTATTTTCACTGCTGTAAAGTATTTCATTATAGATAAAGGCCATGAAGTATTTATCCATTGGTGCTATTTCAAGTGTTTGGCTTTTACAAACAATGCTGCTATGAAAATGCTTTTCTATATGCTTTGGTGAACATAATACATATTTCTGTGGGTTTCTGGTGAGGAGTTTAATTGTTGAGTTCTAGGGCATGTGTATTTTCAAGTTTAGAAGATTACACAAAACTGTTTTCCAAAAGGATATTTAATGGCCAGGATGTAAGAGAGGGTACTTGGCAAGTTCAAGTGACTAACGGAGTCTGGTGTGGTGGGAATGGGGCACGAGAGGGTGAGAGGCAAGTGACGGGCATGTGTGGTGCACGGCAGGTGTCCTTCCATATGCACAGCAAGCAGCGCTGACCTAATGCCGGGTGCACAAACAGGCACTGGGTTTAAACAGGAAAGCTGTATGAACTGGCTTCCATTTTTTAAATGGTCCATTCAGCTAAAGTGCAGAGAATGGACTTGAGGGTAGCAAGATTGAAGGACAAGGCCAGGCCGGTGACTGTCCCTCTCACTTCAGTGAGAGTGATGGGGATGTGGACTGGGGTATCATGCTTGGGATGGAGATAAATGAACAGGTTGGAGATATTTTAAAGTTTGAATAAATCAACATGGCAAATAATGTAATGATTGTTTTAAGCCACCAAGTTTTGGGATGGTTCATTAAATGACACAGGAATAGGTAACTGATACAGCCTCCAAAGAGAGATGTCCTTTTTTTTTTTTTAATTTAGAATATTACAGGGGTACAAATGTTTTGGGTACATGAATTGCTTTTTCATGGTTTGAGTTAAAGTTGTAAGTGTGCCCCTCATCTCTACAGCATACATTGTACCTGCTATTTTTGAATTTATACCTAACCTCCTGCCCTCTCTCACCTGCTTGCTTTCCATTGAGTTGTTTACAAAAGGTATTAGTTCACCATTTTTTTTTGGCTGAGTAGTACTCCATGGTATACATATATCACATTTTATTATTACACTCAGGTATAGACGGGCACATGGGTTGGTTCCACATCTTTGTCATTGTGAATTGTACTGCAATAAACATTAGGGTGCACTGGTCTTTTTAACAAATTACTTTTTTCTTTGGGTTAATACCCAATAGTGGGATTGCTGGATCAAATGTTAGGTCTACCTTTAGTTCTTTGAGGTATCTCCATATAACTTTTCATATAGGTTGTATTAGTTTTCAGTCCTACTAACAGTGTATAAGTGTTCCTTTCTCTCTACATTTATGCCAGCCTTTGTTGTTTTGAGACTTTTGATAGAATTCATTCTCACTGATGATAACTCATTTTGGTTTTGATTTGCATTCCCTGATGATTAGAGAAGTTGAGCATTTTTTCATATGTTTGTTGCCCATTATTCTGTCTTCCTTTGGAAAGTTTCTGTTCATTTCCTTTGCCTACTTTTTGATAGAGTTGTTTAATTTCTTTCTTGCTGATTTTTCTGAGTTCTAAATAGATTCTAGCTATCAGTCCTTTATCGGATGTGTAACTTGCGAAAATTTTCTCCCATTCTGTAGGTTGTCTGTTTGTACTCATGACAGTTTCTTTGGCTGTGCAGAAGCTTTTTAATTTGATCAGGTCCCATTTGTTTATCTTTGTTGTTGCTGTGATTGCCTTTGGGGTCTTCTTCATAAATTCTTTGCCAAGGCCAATGTCTAGAAGAGTATTTTCAATGTTTTCCTCTAGAATTCTAATAGTTTTACACTTTCAGTTTAAGTCTGTTACCCAGCGTAAGTTGATTTTTGTGAGAGGTGAAAGGTGTGGATCCTGTTTCAGTCTTCTACATGTGGCTATCCAGCTTTCCCAGCACCATTTATTTTCCCCAGTGTATGTTTTTGTCTGCTTTGTCAAAGTTTAGGTGGCTTTATGAGGATGGTTTTATATCTGGGTTCTCTGTTCTGTTCCACTGGTCAATGTCCCTCTCCTTGTGCTAGTCCCATGCTGTTTTAATTACTATAGCCTTGTAGTATAGTTTGAAGTCTGGTAAATTGATAGCTCCCATTTTCTTTTTATTGCCTAGGATTTACCTTTGCTATACGGGTTCTTCTCTGGTTCCATATGAAGCATAAAATTGTTTTTTCTATATCTGTGAAAAATGATGATGGTATTATAATAGGGATTGCATTGACTCTGTAGACCACTTTGGCTAGTATAGACATTTTAACAATGTTGATTCTGCCAACCCAGGAGCATGGTATGGTCTTTCGCCTGTTTATGTCCTCTGCTATTTCCTTCATCTTGAGTTTTACTTTTTATAATAAATTGGCAAACATGTGTAAATGTTTCCCTGAGTCCTGTGAGCTGTGCTAGCCAAGTGTCAAACCCAAAGAGGAGCTCATGGGAACCTTTGATTTATAGCCAGTAGGTAAGGAGCACAGGTCACAACCTGAGACTTGTGGCTGGTGTGTGAGGTGAGGGACAGTCTTGTGACACTGAGCCCTTAACATGCACCATCTACACTAACTCTGTTAGAACTGAATTAAATCAGAGGACACTTGGCATCTGCAGAGAACTAGAGAACTGGTTGGTGTGGGAACCCCCCCCCACATGTGCTGTGAGAAGTGCTGTGAGTGTGAGGGCTCAGATAACTAAGACAGGTGTTTGTCTTTCACCCAGAGCCTTCTCTTTAGCATTGACCATGGGCCACAGTTCTTAGCCCTTCACAGCTTCACAGGGATCTTCTCCTGCAGGGACCTCGCTACATCACCATCACTTCCAGGCAGTTAGTGTCTTTCCATCTGGCTACTGACACACTCACTCCCATCCCTTCCTCATGGTTATTGGGCCAGTACTGTCTTGTGATGGCTGCTCCTCCAGGACCCCACGCCTGGGTGGGAGCTCAGACAGACTCCCCGCCCTGCCGTCCCCATGGTCCTTCCTCATTCTTCCCTGAGTCACAATCTCCAGTGAGCACCTCAGGCCCCTCTTCCTCTTGGTAGCTAAGAAAGTTCTGTCTTGTTGTTATTACCATGTTGAAGGGTGTTGTTATTACCATGTTGGCTGCTGGGCCCCTCCTCTCTCCCTTCTTCATTACTTTCTTGAAAATACGATTTGTCTGGGAACACTGAAGAGCCAGAGACAGAGTCAGTGTGAGAGAGAAGGCAGTTAGTTATCTCTTCCAGAGAAGAGCAACAACATCTGGAAATGATACATTTAGGAATTTCCAGCCCTTGCATCACTCAGAGCTCAGTGGGTCCCGCATGACTCAATATTCTTCCACCATCCCCTGGGACAGAAAAGAGAATACTCTGTCAAGGAAGACTTCATTTCCCACACAGAAAAGAGACACTGAATATTTAAGGCTAAAGAAGTGAAACATTGTGAGCCATGTTACTCGCCTAAAAAAGTTTTCAGATGGCAAGGAAAGCACATTTCACAGAAATTAATAATAGCGAAGTGTGTTTTCTGACCTGTTCAAACTAAGGAAGAAACAGGGATTTGGGGGGAGAATGTCTTGGTTCTCAGAGAGCTGATTACAAAAGAGAAAACTCTGACAGCTTTAGTAATGGGGCTACAAAAGAGGAAGGTTTTGGCTTAATTGGGTCAAGGAGGAGGAACGATTCCCAAAGAAACATAACAGAGGACAAGGGGGCAGCTCGCATGGACTTCAGGGTGCAGGAGGAGGCAGCATCTCTCTGAGGGCAACGGGGCAACTGAGGTGGGTGAGGGGGTGGACAGTGCCCTGGACAGCAGTTACTCTCAGTGCCCATCACCCAAGCATAGGGAGCTGCTCTGGGGCTAGGGAGGGGAGACCCTGTAGTCCAGGGAGAGGATCAGAGCCCCTGAGATGTGAGCAGTAAAGGTAACACCGTTCCCTTGGCATCCACAACCTGGGGACATCCTGGTTACAAATACAATATTAACTTGAAATTTGTCCCCACGTATTTGGTTTCCTTTAATCTCTTCTTCTGATTGGAATGACTTGCTAAAGAAGTAATTTTATTCTTAACTAGATAAGGTTACTATTGACACAAATTAACAAGCCATATATACCTGCTTAAAAGTTTTTCCTTGCTTATAAACCTCTCTTTATTGCCTCTTAAATAAACTTCAAATTCCTTAGCTTT